ATTAGAATCAAATCATACACGAATAACCTAAAGAATGAATATTTTTATGAAAGATAATGTAAAATACCTTTCCAAAAATATAAGCTCTCATCTTCCCATCTCCTCTTATCCCTGATTCGTGTAACGCCCTTTCCCATACCCTATTAGCTTTCATCTCTCGTGCAATATCCGAAGGAGTTTTCCCATTCTCCTCTTTTGCATTTATATCCGCACCAGCCTCTATTAACCTTCTTAAACATAATGGGTTTCCTTTAATCATTGCCCAATGCAAGGGAGTAAATTGCGCATTATCAGTTTTGGATACTGATGCACCCAAGTTAATTAATAACTCTACAGTTTGTGGGTCTGCTTGATAAGCAGCCCACATTAAAGGTGTATGTTGTACAACATCTGGAGTATCAATGTCCATATCATGATATACGAGATATAATACTAGCATAGTGTTAGAAGAATGTGTAGCAATATGAAGCCCATTAAATCCTTGAGAATCTCGAATACTAGGATCCGCTCCGTGGTTAACTAAAAGGGTTACGACAGGGAGATGGCCACTCCTAAACATTTTAAGGAAGAATACATATAGATTTGATTTCTTTTGACATCGCGGGATAAATAAGTAAAATAGGTTTACATGCACACCTTGCTGCCCAATGCAACGGAGTTGCGTCCAGTTCACCACCACGAGCATCTACTTCAGCTCCATTATCAATCAAATATCTCGCCATTACTACATGATTATTGATAGCCGCCCAATGTAAAGGGGTAACATTCTGCGCGTCTCGGTCTGTTGCCTTAACTCGCCCATTTTCGATCAAATTTTTTGCTATATGCAAATTTCCATGTTGAGCAGCCTGATGAATTGTCATTCCTATTTTTCATGTTTATGAATAAATAGATGCAATTCGTTCGAACGGAAGATTATTATCACCCTTTGATAAATATTTATAAATGATAACGTTGAAAAAAACCCATTCTATTCCCCTTTTTTTGGTATTGTAAAAGACAAATATTTTGTAGGTCTTTATTATAAATTCTAATATATCTTTCACCAGCCACCAAAAACTTGCCAATTAGTGCACGATACACAAACTTGTACAGTACCTGAAAAGCT